CCTTGGTACCAATTGAGCATCGTTGCAACGCCACATGAGTATTGTTGCTGACCATGTCCATCCCTTTATGACCACAATGTACTCAACATCTGATGGCTACTTTCAGCAGGATAATGCGCCATGTCATAAAGCTGGAATCATCTCAGACTGGTTTCTTGAACATGACAATGAGTTCACTGTACTCAAATGGCCTCCACAGTCACCAGATCTCAATCCAATAGAGAATCTTTGGGATGTGGTGGAACGGGAGATTCACATCATGGATGTGCAGCCGACAAATCTGTGGCAACTGTGTGATGCCATCATGTCAATATGGACCAAAATCTCTGAGGAATGCTTCCAGCACCTTGTTGAATCTATGCCACAAAGAATTGAGGCAGTTCTGAAGGCAAAAGGGGGTCCAACCCGTTACTAGCGTGGTGTACCTAATAAAGTGGCTGGTGAGTGTATGTTTGCACATGATTGACGGAATCATGTATTCAGATCCCAGCACAATAAAACAAGCAAAAAAAAACCCAACTCTTAAATAAAGTAAAAATATACTTGTAACAATCAGTGCAGGTTCAGCGTCAAAAAGATAGCAACAGAACTTAAACTGTTATTTAAGTCATCTGTTGAAAATTCCTGTATTTTTTTCCCCACATCATAAAATATATATTGCAGGGTTAGAATAAAATTGCAATGTCAGCTTTTTCCAAAACCGTGCAGCACTACTTCACAGATGTACAGCYAATGACTGTTTTCGTTATAAAATAYGGGCTATACATATATTATTTACTTTTCACTTCCACTCATTTTTTACTGTCATTTGCCTTCAGTGGAGTCAGAAAGGTAGACATAAAAAAAGAAAACAAAAGGAAAAATAAAGATGAATTTCAAGCCTGCGTGTTTCAAAACATTCAAGATGCTGTAAATTAAATCAGCTATAACAAGAGCTGATGTGTGATATAAAAAATATAGAAAGACAGTTCCAAAAAATCTGCCCTAAAAATAAACTTAACATATGTTCAACAGCTGTTATCTCACACTTTCTATTTCATATTATTCTGTCAAACAACGTGAAAGGGGGAAAAAAATCCCTGTCGACACTTTCCAGACCTGCAGCAAAGCTCTGAGGATCAAATAGAAGACAAATGAAAAACAGACAGAAAAGAAGGGAATGAATGAAGTGATTTAAGGAAGACATTCAGGGTGAAATAACAAACACTGCTTTTTTTCCCCCTAAAATCTATCAAGCAGAAAAATAGATCAGGRAATAATAATAATCTAAAATAAAACTCTGACCTCTGAAAATCTTTCCAACCCATATTTTTTTTATAATTCAGTACAGCAAACAGGCGTTTRCATGTCCGTGTTATGTTGCACCACCTGCAGCGGTCAACAAATTCAGTGTGTGGTTAATGAGTCTGCAGTGCTTTGCAGAGTCTGACTGTACTCGGAAACAATCCCAGAGGAGACGTAACTTTATACGACACAGTGAGTCAAACTGGGCTTGTACGGCTTTATTAGCCTCTCATGTGTCCCAACCAGATTCATATTGTTCTACCCAAGAACCCCAAAGAGAGACGCTCGGCTGCCGACCCACCTCAGATGAACAAAACACACCTAAAGACACATTACAGGAGGAAGTTAGAACTTGTCCTGAGAGCCTTCTACATGAAAACACCAATACCCTCCTCTGCTCCTATTCGTTTGTCATGACAGGCACTAAAGATATGCTTTCTCAAACTAAGTGGAAAAACAAAAACATACCAAAAATGTATTTTATTTATCAAACATAACATTTAAGTTCAGGATTAAAAAAACAAATATAAGTTTTTGCTGAAATGTTTTGTCATTACTTTAAAAAATGAAGAGAAAATAAGAGTACGAGATAAAAATTATTGCTTACTTGTCAGCAAAACTAACCTTCATAATCTCCCTGGACACAGAAAACGTTTTGTATAAATCTATTCATCAAAACACGCAGAAGAGAACTAATATTTGATATTTTAAGGACGGATAATAAAGTTGCTCATACTTCGACTAATAAACACGAAGTGTAAAACGTCCCCTACAACGGCTGGCGTGTGTTGAAACGGCTCTCCTGTGATTTTTCTGCAGCTGTTGTCTCTGAAGCGTTTCATCCTTCCACTGCAGAGCAGAATCCTCCTTCAGAAAGACGTACAGTCGCTCTCTGTTTGGATGAAATGTGCTGTGGCAAATTACCCTCCATACACATGGAGAGGAGGGTGGGAAAGTGTGTGTGGGTRYCGACGGACCCCGAGAGGAAGACGACGGTGTGTGTAATTCTGTGTGGTGCTGGTTGGTGTCTCAGCAGGGAGATGCTAACACTAATGAAGAAGAGATGCTTTTAAGTTTTTAGCATCTTTACAGGAAATCGTTTGAGAGGATTTGAGAAGGCTTCAGTAAACCGGTAGACTTTTAACAATGTGAGATTAAATTTTATTTATTAAATGAACCAATGATTTAATACAAACCAAAGCACTAATTGTTGTGTTGCATAGATTTATCTACAAAACAGTAAAAAAAGAGAGGTTTTAATTTAAATGACAAATTTAAACTGGTATTATAT